GTTTAAGGATAGGGCTTTATAGGTAATGACTAGGACATTGAATTGCACCCAGCAGCAAACTGGCAAGTAGTGCAGCTTACAAAGCAAGAGGTGTTATTCTAGACAGTTTCCTGTGTGAAAGTATCTTAATTGTTAGATAACAGCCTTAAAGAATGCATTAAGAATATTTACATTTCATCCTGTGCTGCAGTATGGTGGACTGCAAGCTAATCCTCATTAATGCTGCCATCCTCTATCCCCATGACCTCCAGCTCTGTTTTTAGTCTGAAAGAAATTAAATACTTGAAATAAAACAATGCAAACAGGATCAAAATAGTCATAAATAAAAAGGAAACAAAGCTTCATTGTTGCCAGATGCAATGGTGGAAAGAAAAATTATGCTAGGAGACAAAGCTAGTGACCATATTTCCATTTTAAAAAATAAATAAAATTATAAATAAAGCTGGCAGGAGCAGGAATTCTGGGGGATGACAGAGGTGGTTATCTTTGTTTTAAAGTGCAATAGTATATTGCTTCTTATATTGACTTTTGCCTGAATCCTAATAGATTTCAAATGTTTAATGACACATAAAATTCTCATTCTGAATCTGTTTCAAACAGACAATGCACCACAGTCCAAGGATACAGCATTAAAGCTAACAACTCTCTTGCCTAGAACCTCTCATCTTTCAGAGGTGAATCTGCAGAAGATTAGCTATACATGCTTATGCAAAATACATTCCCACTCTTCTGCTCACCTGCTGCATTTCTGTTGCAAATCAGAATTGCACTTCAAGGCTGCTTCAAGATAATTTTTTGCTTTCTTGTTTTCCTCCTGAAATAACTCTCTGGAAATGAAAAAGCAGGAGTAAGAGTTTGTATAGGTCAAATCTATCAAGATATTAGTTGCCTTTGTGGCGAGAAATCATTTGGTACATGCATTTTTATTCTAACAGTCCCAAATTACAAAAAATATAATGAAGCATACCAGAACTTTTAATAATGTCTCATGTAATTTTGCACAAGGTATTAATAATTAATTATCTTACTCTTAGAAAGTTTAGACTTGTTTTTTTTAAAGTAGCACTTTTACTTGCTATTGTAGTTCATTTTAAATATTAAAAGGTAATTTCTTGGATATCCTTGGGAAGGAACAAACTTATTTATCTGAGCTCTAAATATTATCCCAGAGGAGAACTGAAGTATACTCACAAGGCAGATGCAGCTTCCCGGCTTTTCAGGAACTTCCTTTCTTCACTGAATGCAGCCTGGTTCAGCAAATCCAATTCATCTTGAACATGAGCCAGTTTCTCCTGGATTAGTTTTTCTAATGGAACATTACAACATACAAGTCCTTTATGGCACATCATATTTAAGAATTCCTACCTGCCTTGGAAACTAAAGGTACTTTCAAAGTACAATAGAAATTAACTTCTTGGACTTCCTCAGGAACATGGCGGACTGAAGATGACTAAGAGCCACAATTGCAGCTAAGAACAAGGAGCCAACAAGCAGATCAGCTCCTTTGACCCTCTATGGAGAAAGGGAGGATGTGAGATTGTCCACGTTGTGCTCCATACAGTTGCTTCTCACGAGGAGATTGCAAGCCAGTGGTCTCCAGAGGGTGGGAGAAATGGGAGACAAGGGAATTTGCCGTTCTTGCTCCAGCTGCTGTCAGAACCTTCAAAGGACATTAAGTTGGCACTTCCTTTGCTACCACTTTAGGAAATTGCCTATTAACTGCTTCAAAGTTAGACACCTTCAAAATGAACGCCTGGAAACACCAGGTGAATGCCTTCAATCCTTAATATGGAATGGATTAATATGGAATGGAACATTAATATGGAATGGATTAATTAATTAAATCAATTTAATTAATTAATATGGAATGGATCATGGGACATGTTAATTTTGAATGGTTCTTTCTGGGCTTACTGACATCTGGACTGGAAAAATGTTGTGTACTGGATTTGCTTACACTTTATCTCAACTCTTGAGATAAGGAATGATGAGTTTTATATTTGTTAACTAATGTTATTATTTTAGGGCTCTATTTGGACTTTTTGCTGACACCTGGATTGGAAAAGAAGTTGCTTACTGGATTTGCTGATACTTAAGAATTGAGTTATGGGATGAAGAGTTTTGTATCTGTTAATTAAAATGAGGTGAAGGAGATAGTGAATTTGTTTACACTTGTCGTGATGAGGGTGAGAAGTTGTTTTATTAGGTTTCTTTTTTCTTTTTGCTTTCTATTTTTTCTTTCTTTTTTTCTTTCTTGCACCTTTTATTCTCTCTATTTTTCTTTTTAGCTTGTATTATCTTTTATTACTGTAGTTAAAACTTTTAATAAAAAATATTTTAAAAATAAAAAAAGATATTAACTTCTTGGCAGTGCTATATTAAT